CCCACTCCCCCTGCTTGTGTTCCCTCTCTCGCTGTCTCTCTCTCTCTGTCAAATAAATAAATAAAATCTTTTAAAAAAATAAAAATAAAAAGAGGAGGGTGGAAACTTCCTCTGGGTCAGCGTTTGGGGACCTGGAAGACTACGTTGCTACTTGACAGTGGAACTCAGCCACTAACCACATGTGGCTATTTAAAGTAAATTAAAATTTAGTTCCTCGGCTTGCACCAGCCACAGTTCACGTGCTCAACAGCCACATGTGGCCGCTACTGTCAAACCGGATAGTAGAGACAGAACATTCCATCGCTGCAGAGAGTCCTACTGGACAGTGCTGCTCCAGAGAACTCATAAACCGAGGTTATCAGGCAGGAAGTGCCAGCCCAAACTCTCACTATGGGGACTCTCACTATGTGAGTCTCCCTGCATATGGATCCAAGAAGCATCTGGAGAAGAGATGGGGAATGCGGGAAACACAGGGGGCACCTGCTACCTAGTGTCTCTCTCATAATCCTCCATGCAGGGCATCCTTCTAAAGCTCTGTGATTGTCCAATACTGGGGTTGAGATGAGGAAAAAAAGAAAAGAGAAAACAGGTTTCGGCTGATCCATGAACACATTCCCCTCCACATTAAAAGAAAGAAAGGGGGAAAAAAAGAAAAAAGAAAAGAAAAGAAAGGGAAGGGACGCCTGAGTGGCTCAGTCAGTTAAGCGTCCGACTCTTGATTTTGGTTCTGGTCATGACCTCAGGGTCATGGGGTCCAGCCCCGCGTCAGGCTCCGCACTCAACGCAGAGTCTGCTTGAGATTCTCTCTCTCTGCGCCTCCCCCCACTCGCTCTCGCTTGCTCTAAATAAATAAATAAAATCTTAGAAAGGGAAGAAGAGAAGGAGAACACCAAGGTTAGACTAATCCTTAGGGTTTAGAGAGCTTTTGCTTCCCACTGCAATTTGAATGAAAACGTAACTGGAACTCATCAATGGGAAGAAGTTCTACTAAACTCCTCTCTAAGATAAGTCAGGTGAGCCCAAAAGCATTGTCTGACTCCTCCCCAGTAAGAGCCAAGTCATCCCCTTCTGATAGAACAGTCTTGAAGGGGAAGGACAAGTAAAAAGTGGCCAGTGGACCATGCTGTTAGCAGAGACGCTCTAGAAATTCTGGGTGCCAGGCATAGACTGGGGGAGCCACGGCTGGGGTTGGAGCCAGCTCATCAGGATGAGCTTCTGACTCTCCACATGAATCCTCTGGTTCTCCCCTGAGATGCTCCACGGTTGAGAAGGAGCCACAAACTGGAAGCCACATCCATCCCAAGGAGAATACGTCTTGCTCTCTAGCTCCCAGTCTGGGGTTAGGAGGAGGAGGACATGGGAAGATCAGCCGCTTCTTGAATTCTGTTTTGTCCAAGCACTCAAAAAATGTGCTTTTTTCCAAAGTTCATGGTGTTAAAGTATGCTCAATTTGAGTAAGTCATATAGATTATCTGGGGAAAGATAAAATAGGCTCTATGTCTGCACTGCCCAGTATGGTAGCCACTAGCCACATGTGACTACTTAAGTTAGAATTAATAAAAATTAAAATTTTACTGCCTCAGTTGCACTAGCTACATTTTAAGTGCTCAACAGCCATGATACAGAGTATCTCCACACTGCAGGAGGTTCTCCTGGACAACACAGCTCTGTATCTTTGAGGTTAAACTCTGTAACGAAGTCATTCTGCCATGTTGCCCCAGGCTACTCACCTTATAAAGTTCTTCATCAAACTGGCTGAGCTGTGCCACTTCCTGCATGACCTCCTTCCTCATGAAAAAGGGGGTATAAATGGGGGTGTAGCCCCGACTCCCCAAGGTGCGAAGGGCATACTGGATGAGTGCCTGTTCCAGGAACACCAGGACACCCTAAAGGAGCAGAGACACAGCACTGTGTGATTGGCTTCTGCCACTACCATGTTCATCTGCTAGTATTTACACTCAGAGGCAACTGGGGGCACACGGGAGGCCAGCAAAGACTGTGAACCCCAGTGCCTGACTTAAGAGTTTCTTTCTTGATACCAATGCCCAGCACATCATCTAGGCACACTGGCAGGAGAAGCAAAGCGAGGCAGATAGGATGATTTGCCCAAGGTGCACGGGAGAGCTTTCTTGTGCTACATCTTAAAACACCAGATCCGTGTCTGTATGCAGAGCATACTATGTATATGTATACGTATACATGTCCTGTATCTCCAAAATTATTTTCCCATGCCCTTCCGAAGTCTTCCCTAAATTCATCTGCCCTCTGTCCCAACTCCTCTGGGTTTGCCGCCTCTGCCTACCTGTTCTCATAGCTCTCTGGGCCCACTCACCCCACAGCACTCCTCACAGTGGGTTCTGACTCTTTGTTACTTGTCTGTCCAATTCCACTCAGCCCCTTAAAAGGCAGACTGCTCTGATCCAGTCAGTACAACATATATTCATTATGGAGGATCACTTAGGGGCTCTTGTTCTAGGGAATCTGGAGAAGCACTCTCCTGTCTCAAAAAGAGAACTGCATCCAACTGGCAGTAAGTTTGCAGGATAAAGGCATGAACAAGTGGTGGATCTGTGGCCTCTTTAAGTAGGTTATGTTTTCTGCATAGTTTTTTTTAGCTCCTTTTTAGAATCCCATCGCTACGGGTTCCTGGCTCTTACCTTCAGGAAGTAACCTCGACTTCCAGCCACCACGGCCCCCTTTTCGCCCTCAAAGCCATCTACCATCACTACCAGGTCCACGTGAGAGTACTTCTTCCTGACTGTACAATCGCCCCAGATCCTCTCTACTTTGTTATCGGCATCCTAAGGAAACAAGACCAGGAGAGAAAGATGCATGATCACTGAATTTCACAACCTCCAGCTTTCTAAACCCCATTCCAAAAACAACCTAGAGCTTTGCAAAACTACTGCGTAACTGAAACACTAGGTTTTGGTTACTGTGTACAGAGACTAAGGAAGAGAATTTGCTAGAGGATGTGTGTTCAATAGAGAAATAATAATTTACAAATTCCTAGAAGTGATTCTAGCCATGGAACCAAAATCATGAATTTCTAAGAGATCTGTCGCAGTCTCACTTTTTTTTTTACCCTTTTAAAAGACTCCTTGAAAATCCTGCTACAGGACAACCACCCCCCCACCCCCCCATCAGCATCGCCTGGGGTGCAGAGGAGAATGTAGATTTTTTTTTTTTCCAGGCTCTCATTGGTCCTGGGGCCATATGAGGGCGGGCTCAGGGCCCTGACCTCCCGAGTCTCCCAGTCCAGCCGGCAGTGAGTTTAAGGCTCGTTCACCAGGGAATGAATGAAAGAGGCACAGATGGGCCCAGCCACGGCTGGGGTGTCAGGGAACAAAGGCTGGGCTCAGAGCAGCTTTGTGCTGGGGAAGCTCCCACTCAGCAGGAAACTTTTATCATGCAGATTTCCCTTCAACCTGCAGCTTCTCAGCAGGGTGTGGGTGAGGGGTGAGGGTGATTTAGCAGATCCCTCCCACAGGACTCACTGCTACCACGGGCAACACGCAGTGGAGGACAGCGGCCGATTCAGAGGAGATTTCTGTGCCCGGGGTCTCCTCCTACCTGCTGTCTCTGCTACTTCCCAATCAGGCAAGGATCTGACTCTTTCAATTCTCAATTGGTGGGCAGAGCGAATATACAAAGAGCCTGCTTCTGACACAAGGCCTGTTATACAGAGAGGGGCAGCGTTTCCCAGTCCTCCTCCCGGCCCGCCCCCTCCCCAGCAGAGGGGAGCCCCGGGCAGGCCACCGCCCACTGTGGCGCCAACACCTACCTCATCATTGCTGATGGGCACGGAGGGATGCAGAAGGTTCCCGATCTCTCGGAGGTTCTCAAACCGCTCTGCTTCCAGCTTTATCCTCTCGGCATCACACTTTAGGATGGCCTCATCGATGAGGAGTCGGACTTTTTTGATTTGTGAGACCTTCAGGCTCTGCAGATGAACAGGCCAGGCCAGTACCCAAGTCACAGCAGGTCAAGGTACAGAGTAGGAATAAGATTCTGTTGCCCTAACCTTGTTGTGCTCTAATGACAGGCCCTGTGACAGCACTGTTAAAATCAACAGTGAAGGCTTTCGAAGAACTGAGATTTATTTCACACGCACGCACGCACTCAGTTTTGCCCTTACAATTCGTTGGCATTTCTTCTGGGGTACCTAAGGAAGAGATGGATCAATTCTGGCCATTCTTCTCAGTCGTATATATCTCAAGGGTTTTAATACTGTAGCTCTTTTTTTTTTAATAGAATTTTTTTTTAAGATTTTATTTTATTTATTTGACAGACAGAGAGAGAGCACAAGTAGGCAGAGAGGCAGGCAGAGGGAGAGGGAGAAGCAGACTCTCCATCGAGCAGGGAGCCTGACATGGGGCTCGATCCCAGGACCCTGGGATCACGACCTGAGCCGAAGACAGACGCTTAACCGATTGAGCCACCCAGGAGCCCATTTTTTTAATAGAGTTTATGAACTGTTTTTTTTTTAAGATTCTATTTATTTATTTGACAGAGAGACACAGCAAGAGGGAACACAAGCAGGGGGAGTGGGTGAGGGAGAAGCAGGCTTCCCGCAGAGCAAGGAGCCCCGACGAGGGACTCGATCCCAGGACGCTGGGATGGTGACGTGAGCCGAAGGCAGAGGCTTAAGGACTGAGCCACCCAGGCGCCCCTACTGTAGCTCTTTTAAGAGCTCTTTCCCTTAACTTGTATTTTCTGATATTCCTAATTAAATCAATTTAGCGCTCTTATGTACTACATTTAACTGTTCTCTAGGAAGATTATAAATTTATTAGGAACAAGAGAACCTGTCTTAAGCTTATTTTGTATTCCTTTCTGCAAGTGTTTCAAACTACTGATTTCATGGGGACAGGAGAGCCCTTGGCAAGTGGGGCTGCACAGGAATAGCTCCCCCAGCCTAGCCCTTCAAGCACAGCAACTTTGCTTTTGTGTATTTATGCTCTTGCTATGCTTTTGTGTTGCAGGTTTTAAGAAAGGGTTCGGTGACTAAAAAACTTGAAAATTACTTCTCTAGGTTCACTGTTGTGCATATTTACTGAATTACAGTAAATTGAAAAGATCCTTGACTTTGTGAAAACTGAGTTCTATAAACCAAAGGTAGTTCGTCTCCTTTTTCCTCTGCTTCCTACTCTTGACTTTTCCACTCCATCCGTCCCTGTCTCTGTGATCTAATAAAAACTCAAGTATCGAGTCCAACAAGAGCGGAGGGGGACATTTCCCAGCTGCACACATTCAAGGATGCCACAATGCTGCGTGGAGCTGAGTGTCAGCACTTGCTTGTTAGGAACAAAGTTATGATGAAAGAAGAGAAAGCCAGCCTAGAAAAGGGAAGGACGGGGCGCCCGGGTGGCTCAGTTGTTAAGCATCTGCCTTTGGCTCAGGTCATGATCCCAGGGTCCTGGGATTGAGCCCCACGTCAGGCTCCCTGCTCGACAGAGAGCCTGCTTCTCCCTCTTCTGCTTTCCCTGCTTGTGTTCTCTCTCTTGCTCTCTCTGTCAAATAAATAAACAAAATCTTTAAAAAAAAAAAAAAAGAAAAGGGAAGGGAAGGACAAAAACTTACAGCTAAATTGTCTGCAGTGAGGTCATCGAGATTTAAGACATCCTCCGGAACGGACTCATCTCCCACTGGCTCTTTTTTCTGCAGGGGAAACAAAACAAAAAAAAACCCAATACTATTAAATAAAAGAAAATTTCTGACATAGTTTTATAAGTATAACTTATTTATAACTTTCTATATAACTGTATCTAAAAGCTGCAACATATGAGAGAAAAAATTAGTGAGAAAGTTTCGAGTCCTTATCCTGCCACTTTCTGGCTTTTTTGATCCTGGACAGATCAATTAATCCATCGGGGTCAGAGGGCTGACATCAACAGGAACGTAAGAAGAATGTCTGCCCTGGACGTAGAGTAGTTATGGGCACCAAGAAGGTGTGAAAACGCTCATACCACTGCCCAGCTCTGGGGCAGGTGCCTGGATGTGAATCTGTGAATCCTTGTCCACTTCCTAAGAATAATCCCAGGACTGAGGCTAAGAGGAAAAAATGGATGGGATGATAGAATAGTAGGACACTAAGGAAAGCAAAATTTTTGAGGAAAAAAGTCACCAAATCTAGAACTAAGTTTAGAGCAATGAAAGTAACTTGGCAAAACTGCAGAATGTACGAAGGGCTAGATTTTCTCCCCTCTGGTTTCTCTTCTACCCCTTCTTTGTGATATTCTGCCAAATCATTTCCAATCCTTGCCCAGAGCCATGGAGAAGATAATTTAAGAGTCAAATTCTTCCCAAATTAAAAGAAGTTAAAGAAAATTATCAAAGGCCATTATAATAAGATATGTAAGGCCTCAGCAAAACTTGCATAAAAACAAGTTGAGGAGATTCAGGGTCTGCTTTGCAAGTATAAGTCATGTCCAATGTCCTAAAGATATTTTTTTTATTCTATACATAACAATAGGCAATTACGTTTACACAACCTCATATACTACTGCACAAAACTGAGTCATAAGAAAGAACTCAATCTTCTGAGGGTAAAGCATAGAAATCCTTTCGATTTGTTACACAATCTCATATACCAAAGTGAGAAGTCAGGACGCTAACCATAACCGAACTCACATCTTTCAGTGACTCAAGCAAAACCACCTTAAAAAGTTGTGGAAGTCTGAAAATCTCAGAATGAGTCTTAAGAATAGGCAGAGACTAAAAAAAAGAAGAAGACAGCAGGAGGGGAAGAATGAAGGGGAGGAAATCAGAGGGGGAGACGAACCATGAGAGACGATGGACTCTGAGAAACAAACTGAGGGTTCTAGAGGGGAGGGGGGTGGGAGGATGGGTTAGCCTGGTGGTGGGTATTAAGGAGGGCACGTACTGCATGGAGCACTGGGTGTTAGATGCAAACAATGAATCACGGAACACTACATCAAAAACTAATGATGTACTGTATGGTGATTAACATAACAATAAAAAAATTTTTAAAAAAAAGAATAAGCAGAGACTACTGAGGTAGAAAGAAATGGCCTAAATCTCAAGATCTTCCATTTAGTAGTCAAGAAAGCTGAGGCCCCTTTGCTATCTGATAATCCTTTAGGGCGGCAAATTCAAGTTCTGAGTTCAAGTTCTGACTCTGCAACTAACGATGTGATTTTAGGCAGGCTGCTTAATTTCCTAAGCCTATTCTTTTGCCCTTTTAGTAAGGTTGACAAAGGTACTACCTATACTCCAGGTCTGCAGCAAAGATGAAAAACCAAAATGAATACTTTCAAGTGCTATACAAATTAAAGCCCTGCTAAGACCATTCTGATGGATAGGAAGGGAGAACACGCCTTGTGGGGCTACAGTGAAGGGATCTAAGAATGCTACTGCAAATGAAAACACTTCCATCTTGCTAGGAAAACACTAGGCTGGCACTACCTGTGTATGGGCCCCAAGGAATACACAGGCAGAGTGCACACTGGAATTTACATAACTATGGGGTGTCTGACATGCAAATGATTCAGTGTCGTGAGTCCCAAAGGAAGAAAACTATGTGATTGTCGGTATCAATTTCCACAGCCAGTCACAAGCTGAAAGTGTAACAAAATACTGTTAAAGAGAAGGAGTCAGACTTTCCTGAAGTGTGAGGTACTAGAATCTGGAGGGAGTCTTTTTGTTATGCTCTTCCCTGGTTCAGGTCACAAAATTTTATAATTTTTTGGTTTAGTTTAGAGGTTTACAACTTAAAAATGAGACAGATTTGAGGGAGTATTTAATATGTTTTTTAAAAATGATTAAGGGGCTAAGGATATTTTTGAGGAAAGATTAAAAGCATGAACTACTCTGGAGAGCAAAGCAAGGCCAAGCTAAAATTTAACATTCTTCAAGCACAGGAAGGATTTTTTGGATGAAGGCCAGTAATGACTTGCCCTCTGCTGTTACTTGCAATTGCTGAATAACTACAATGTTCTAGGCATTGTGCCAGGTTCTCTATATTTAAAAAATTTAGTTCTTACAATTCTGTTCTATAGGTGAATGTTAGTATTGTCATTTCACAGATGAAAAAATTGAAGCTCAGAAGTTAACTTGCCTAAAGTCACATAGCCAACAATCCAGGATTTGGGCTCCTTATCTGTGCTCTTTCCATTAAAGAGCACGACTACACTGAGACAAAGAATCTCAAGTCCACCCTAAGAAAACCTTTCTGGCACTGTAGACTGAGCTTAAGAAATAATTGGATAAGATTACTGGTGGAAGTTATGTTATTATAAGAACAAAACAGACAATGAATGAGCAATGTGGCAAGAATCTTTTCTTGCTACAGACTGAATGTTTGTGTCCCCCCCAAAACTTGTATGTTGAAACCTAACCCCCAATGTGATGGTGTTTGGAGGTGGGGTCTTTCAGAGGTGATTAGGTCATTAGGGCAGAACTCTCATAAAGGGGATGAGTGCCCTTCTAAGAGACCCCAGAGAGCTCCTTCTATCAATGTGAGGACACAACAAGAAGACAGCTGTCTATGAACCAGGAAGTGGGCCCTCACCAAGCCAGAACCTGCCAGCACCTTGATTTTGGACTTCTCAGTCTTCCGAACTGTGAGAAATAAACTGCTCTTGTTTATAAGCCGCCCATCTACGGTATTCTGTTATAGCAGCTTGAAGGGACTAAGACTTATCTGAAGACACAAAATGGACTCACCGATCCCTGAAAGTGCCTCTTAGTTCTCTTTCCTACTTTCTTCCTTTCTTTTTAAAATATTTGTCCCTTGGTAAGAAATTCAGTATCTCACAGAATTAGACACTAGGTTAGAAATTATGTATTAACTAAGAGTAAAATTAAATACCTCTGCTCAAGCTTTCAAGGCTGTTACCTAGTTCTCTTACCTTCATTTTCTCTCCAATTGTCTTGCTGCACAGGTTCTTCAGCTTGTTCAAGTTGTCTGCCCGAAATCTGCCTGAAGAATAAAGAATCCAAGAATATACCAAAGATATGCACATAATTAAGAACTGCCCCCCACCAAAACATCCACAAAAAAAACACCAAAAAACAAAAAACTGCCCCCTGCCAATCACAGCTCCTTAGGCAGAGCTAAAGGATCTCATGAAATTGTGAAATCTTACAGCTTTAGAGCCCCAAATTTAGTTGGCATATACTGGTGACAATGGGGTTCTCCCAGCATTTGGTGACAAGGAAAAGTCCCTTCTGGGACTGAAACTGGAAACTATCATAACCTGGACAATGCCACGGTCAAATAACAAATCTGAGAAACCTGGAAAAAACTCAAATAACTATAACCTGCTCAATTATCTTAAAATCCATTGAAAGAAACTATGTGGTAAAAGGGGCGCCCTGGGTGGCTCAGTCGTTAAGCGTCTGCCTTCGGCGCAGGTCATGATCCCAGGGTCCCGGGGTCAAGCCCCACATCGGGCTCTCTGCTCAGCGGGAAGCCTGCTTCTCTCTCTCCCACTCCCCCTGCTTGTGTTCCCTCTCTCGCTGTGTCTCTGTTAAATAAATAAAATCTTAAAAAAAAAAAAGAAAGAAAGAAACTATGTGGTATGCACTGCAATCTGGAAAGAGAGCTATCCTGTTTCTAGTCCTGTGAACTTGGTTGCAGCATCTCTGTGCTAGAAATGGTTAATGTTACTCCCTTTGCTCTGACAAAAATCTCACCTGGCAGCCTGGAGAATAAGTTTCTTATGCTTTAGTTTCTTTGCGGGAAGATGGTGCACTAATCAGCCTACATGTGTATTCGGGCCCAAACTATTGTATCAGTATTGTGGTTCATTAATCTAAGTCTAATTAGCAAAAGTCAGACCTCTTGAATCCAAGCTTGAGGACCACAGCAAGTTTTTTTTTTTTTTTTTAAAAGATTTTATTTTATTTATTTGACAGAGACAGAGACAGCGAGAGCAGGAACACAAGCAGGGGGAGTGGGAGAGGGAGAAGCAGGCCTCCCGCTGAGCCGGGAGCCCGATGTGGGACTCGATCCCAGGACCCTGGGATCACGACCTGAGCCGAAGGCAGTCGCTTAACCAACTGAGCCACCCAGGTGCCCACCACAGCAAGTTTTTGACGGGTGAAATGATGACTAGAAATGAGACAGCTCCTAGGCAGCTATTTTTTTTTAAGTTTTTTTTTTTTTTTGAAGATTTTATTTATTTATTTGACAGAGAGAGACACAGAGAGGAGAGGGAACACAAGCAGGGGGAGTGGGAGAGGGAGAAGCAGGCCTCCCGCGTAACAGGGAGCCCGATGCGGGGCTCGATCCCAGGACTCTGAGATCATGACCCAAGCCGAAGACAAGACGCTTAACGACTGAGCCACCCAGGCGCCCCTTTTTTTAAAGTTTTGCCAAACTTGAACTAAACATTAGTACATAATGTTCTAACTACTTTCTCATTCACTTACTTTGATTAGAGAGATGGGAACAGAAGAGCGGTCACCAGGGGTTAGAGGGGGCAGGGGAGAGAGAATGGACTACAAAGGGACAGTGAGAGGGATCTCTATGATGATGGAACAGTCTTGTCCTGAGTGTGACAGTGGTTATACAAATCTACACATGGGATAAAGCTGCACAGAACTACACACACACACACACACACACACACACACACACACGTGCATGTAAAACTGGTGAAATCTGAATAAGGTCTGAACTGTAGCAATGTCAGTTTCTTGACTTTGATACTGTACCAGTTGTGTTAGATGTCATCAGTAGGAGAAACCCGGTGAAGGGTGCATAGGACCTCCTTGTACTATTTTTGCAATTTCCTGTCAATCTATAACTATTTTGAAATAAAAAGTTATAAAAATTTTTATTTAGTCCCTCCTATTTGGAAGGCCCTGTACTGAGTGCTGGGAATAAAAAAGAAAATATCATGCTAGGTGCTGAAAGTAAAAGAAAACAGTAACAATGCTGGATGTTTCAATCAATGAATGTAACATATCCCATCATTATCTTTAATTTTTCTCAGCAATGTTTTTCAGTTTTCAGTGCACGGATCTTGAATGTCATTTATTAAATGTATTCTAGGCATCAGATGCTTTTTGTTATTTGTATATAGAAATACCATTGATTCTGTATATTGTATACAGTGATCTTGTTAAATTTACTTAATTTTTTTAAAATTTAAAATTAAAAAAATTTTAAATTTACTTAATTTTATTTATTTTTAATATTTTATGTATTTAATTTGTCAGAGAGAGAGAGCACACAAGTAGGGAGAGGGGCAGAGGCAGAGGGAGAAACAGGCTCCCCACGAAGCAAGGAGCTGGATGCGGAACTCGATCCCAGGGCCCTGGGATCATGACCCAAGCTGAAGGCAGACGCTTAAGTGACTGAGCCACCCAGGTGCTCCAAATTTACTTAATTTTAATAGTTCAGTTCTGCACACACCATCAAGTCATCTGCAAATAATGACAGCTTTACTTCTGTACCAGTCTTTTTTTTTTTTTTTTTTTGAGGTATCACTGACATATAACATTGTATTAGTTTCAGGTGTACAACATAATGATTTGCCATTTGTATACACTGCAAAATGATCACCACAGTAAATCTAGTGACCATCTGTCATCACATTCTATTCCAATCTTCTTTATTTTTTTTAAGTAGGCTCCATGCCCAATGTGGGCTCTAACTGACAACTCTGAGATGAAGAGTTGCATGCTCTACTGACTGAGCCGTCAGGCACCCCTCTTTTTTTTGCCTTATATCATACTGTCTAGAGCCTCTAGCATGATGTGGATTAGAAGTGGTGATAGCAGATATCCTTGTCTTTTTTTTTTTTTTT